GAAGGAGACCTTTTTTAAAGAACTTGTTCCTTTTGCATTTAGGAATAATGCCGACCTTTCGAAAGATAACTGTTTACAAAATTAGCAACTTCTGCTTCACATCAGCATCCCTTTAAAGTTCGTTAGAAGAGTAAATCCTGCAAGTCACAGAAACCTTGTTTACCAAACTGGACTGTAATTGAAATGGCCCTTTGGAGTTAATAAAAGTATGAAATAGCTTTTTCCACCAGATTGAGAGGCATCTAATGTAATCATTTGTGAGTGTCACCGATTAGAAGCAGCCTTTCATCTATTTCTAGAAACTGAGTATGAACAACTCAGACCTCGTGAAGAGAGCATGAAGTTGGAGCCATGGGAGGGTGAAGGGTGTCCATGAGAGAGCACATAGGTCGCAGGCCTCTGGGCTCTTTAAGCAACCTGGTTAGATAAGTGGACAGTGTTTATTGGAGACCTTAGGCACCTAGATCTGACGTAGGTCCTTCATAGTTCTGTCAGAATCTACTAAGCACCCTCGATCCCAGGCATTGTGTAGGTACTGTGCCTGACTGGATAAAATACGGAACCGTGAGTCTAGGAAGGACTGTGCACTGTTTGCCTTTAGAACGCATGCCCCAAATTGCAAATTCTCTGTTGTTCCCAAATAAACCCATTTTGATGGAGAAATATCTGGCTGTCTGTTTGTGTAAGGTCAACAGAAGAAATAAGTAAGAGGGTGGGAATGGGTACCATGCTAGGGGGAGAGGATTATTAGGGAGACTTCGTCATTTGTAAGAGCTGCTTCAAGGAAACGGAATCCTTACATCTTAAAGCCACTGAGCATGAATTTTCTTCAATAAGCTTCAGTTTTCCAAGAAAAATCACTAACCTATATCTTTTTCTGACCCTTCACTTGTATCACCTGCACTAAGTGTCCACTTTCTTTGGTATCCACTTTTCATATAGAGACAAAAATGGTATTCCTTCAAGGGAGCCACTAGCTAGGCTATTCTGAGTGAAACAGACACACACACACACACACACACACACACACACACACACACACACGGACACGCACATGCACACGCACAATTTTGAGCAATTTATGTCACACTTGCATTTAGCAGAATGTTGGGACCTTTGAGATACTAGGGACTCCTCCACGCCCTGCATTTGAGATCTGTGAATGCCTCTGCAGCCATGGAGTTTGCGAGTGCTGTGTATTTGTCAAGAGGGCAGGTGCTCATTATTTCACAGCATTCTGGCAGTCGGCAGGCCGTGCCTATCTGGCAGGGTCTTTTCCTTGGTTCCCATATTACTTACTTTTAAAATTTGTTATGATAGAAAGATTGACATAAAAGAAAAAAACATCAATGAATCTCCAGTTTTAATATTGTCTATATTTTGTCCATATTATTTTCTCCATCTACCATATTTGGGTGAAGGGGTGGGTGGGCAAGAGAGTGCTGGAGATTTTAAAAGAAAATGCCAAACTTCATATTACTTCACTCCCTACATAATTTTTTTTAACTCAAATCAGATGCCAACTGAGGCAGGTATAGGAATGAATGTCCCTTCCCACAAAGATGTCCATGCCCCAGTCCTCAGAACGTGTGGCTTTGTTGTCTTACACGATAAAAGGTACTTTGCAGTTGTAATAAAGTTAAGCATCTTGAGATAGTGAGGTCACCTGGTTATCTGGGCAGGCCCAGATTAATCACATGGGTCCTGATAATAGGAAGGCAAGAGGGTCAGAGTCAAGAGAAGGTGATGCAGTGACCGAAACAGAAGGAGAAAGGCAATGTGATGTGGGGCCATGAGCAAAGGAATAAATGCAGGCAGCTTCTAGAAGCCAGAAAAGTCAAGGAAATGGAGTCTCTCCTGCAGCCTCCAGAAGGAAGCAGCCCTCCCCCAACACCTTGATTTTAGGACTTCTGACCTCTAGACTGTAAGGGAATAAACAGCACTATGTTTGTGGGGATTTCTTAGAGCACCAATCGGAAACTATCACACTAGCTTTTAAAAATAGGGAAAATTCCCATGTTTGGGTTGCTCAGTTGATTGGAGAATTATCCTGTATACCCAAAAGTTGCAGGTTTGATTCCTGGTGAGAGCACCTACCTAGGTTGTGGGTTCATTTCTACTCAGAGTGAGTATAGGAGGCAACTTATCGATGTTTCTTTCTTTCTCTCTCTCCCTTCCTCTCTAAAAAGCAATAAAAACTTATCCTGGAGTGAGGATAAAAGTAAGTAAATTAATTAATTAATTAATTAATAAAGGAATTCACATTAAATGTAGATTCCTGGATTTCTTTGAAAAAGTAGAGATGTATCAATGCTGTGCCCACAGTCTTCCCTGGTAATGACAGGGTAATGATAAGCTAATGCTGAAAAGAAGCTACCTCAAAGTGGGATTTTTTTTTCTTATATCTAGTCCTCTGAATTTGAGACTTCTTCTCTAGAAAATTCTATGGTTAATATAGTCACTATAACATTGCTGAAAACATGTGTTTTGAATCTAGCGGTTTCTAAGCCATGAGCTGAAAGGGTCAGGAACCACTTAACTTCCTAGTGATGCAAATATCTGGAAAAGTTTACTAGTTACAAATACCCAAATACACTCTTATACCTATATATACAACTTGCTACGATGGTGAGTTTGTGATTCTACAATTAGAAAGGTCTGCATTGTACAGGTGGTGTTGACTGTTGAGGTTTCTTTTGCAAACTTAATATTATTTTTGAAGAATGATGCTTAATACTATTCTGAAGTATGTGTTGACATTGAAATAACTGATTCCAGTTAAAGTTAATGGATCAGATCTGACTAGGTAAGTAAGATAGCGCTTTGGGAGGAACATTTATAGCTTCCCCAGTCTTATTTAATGAGCTAGAAAAGTAATTTACTGGGTTTTAATGTAGAGCCTGGAAAAGATGTACTCCAAATCTCACAAACACTTTATGCCTTGCAACCATAGCTTAGTCACCTTATAGGGTCTGGGACATTGCCTCCCTAACAATTCATTTGGATCTCCTGAAAATGCTGTTGTTTTATTGGGAGGTAAAATAGGCTTAAATATTCATAAAATACAGAAAGGGAGAAATAAACTTGGTAGCCATTCACATTCTAGTATAATTAGCTTCATGGGGGATTTCTCCCTTCTAGAAAAGGAGGTTTTATTCGGATTTGTTGGAGGACGTGAATTAATAAAGAATTTGTTGTGTAACAAATTCTTCTTGGGAGAACTTTGAAAAGGATCCAAGGAGAATGAATTGAGGTTGTCGATATTCTCAGCTTACCTTATAATACCCCCCCCCCCAAAAAAAAAATCATTACTTTGTCAGACTATTGCCATTTTCAAAGAACACCTTTTTTGACAAGTTTAGAAACTGGTGGGTCTACCACAGTTTTCCCAACCTAAGTTTCAGTGAAGACCTGACCATCTGCCAGGTACTGTGCTGAGCACATTACATACACTGTCTCATTTCACCTCTCCTTTAGCATTAGGAAGCACGACTACTTAATTGGCCCTAAATGGTGCTCATTCTGCACTGTGCTAAGCAGTTTAGACACTTTAACTCAGTCATCACAACAACCCTTTGCCCTCTGTGCTAGTGCTATTAGTTCCCCATTTTACAGATACAGAGATTGAGATACAAAGATTCATTGACTTGCTAGTACATCGTGGAGCTATGATTTATGGCCAGGTATTCTAGCTCCAGAGTCAGAACTCTTAGTCACTGTTATACATGATGCTGTCCTTACTTATCAGTGAGGAAGTAGAAGCACAGAGAAGAATAACTTGCCCAAAGCCACACGGGCAGTAAATAATGGAGCCTATGAAACTATAAAACTCACCTCGTATACCATCCTGCTCATCTCTGTTTGGATCACTCAATCCTGAAGCCACACCCACTTGCTTCCACTTCAATACATATTTCACTGTGGCGCTTAAGAAAAGGTAATGATAAGAGGAGAAGGAGAAGGAGTTAGCCTTATTATTTATTTAGCTTATTATGTAGTTTAATTCTGAATACAAGGCAGATAGTGGTTTGTTGTGAAAGGGTTGAATTTTCAATGAATTAGTTGCCAGTGTCAAAGACAATCTCAACCTAATCTAGAGCAGTGCTTCTGAATCTTTAATGAAAATATGAAGCAGCTCAAGATCATGTTAAAATACAAATTATGATTCAATAGGTCTGGGATGGGCCTGGAACTCTCAGTTTCTAACAAGCTCCCAGGTCATACTGATGCTCCCGGACCATGAGCCTGCTTTGAGTAGCAAGGCTAGAGCATTGAGTTTTTCCAAACTAAACATCAAAACTTCTCCTAGAGCTCAGAGGGGAAGCATGGCATTTTCATAGAATATCAAGTGTGTGGGGATCAACACTGGGCAGATAAGATCTGAACTTCCCAGATTCTCAAGGTTGGAAAGGATTTTGAGGTTCATCTGGTCCAATCGTCCAAGTGATGTTTGAATTCTCTCCAATCTCTCCCTGCCAAGTCATCTCAGCCCTTGAGTTAAAGAACTATCTTCAATGAATAGAACTAAACACTCTAGGACAAGAGAATTCCAAGGTGGTGCCTGAGTCTGTGATATCTCACACTTGTTCAGACGGGCCTTCACCTTTGGATATTTATTCCAAAGCTTTCAAACCTCACACTTCATAAGAAAAGCAATGCACTCTACCAGAGAAACAGCTGGGAGCACTTCCTGTCCCAGGCACCTGCCCCACAATGAAATAGAATTCTCAGTGCTGGCTGGCAGGTGAGAAGTGGTGGCAATTTGACTCCTGGGCTGCTTCTTGGCGCCATTGACTACACGTCCCAGGGTCTTGAGAAAACATATTTTCAAAGATTGAGAATCATGAGACCATGACATGGATTTTTTTCTTCTCATTTCAATTTTGTAACCAGAACCGAAAGACCTTCCTATTGTCTTCTGATTCGGGGAATGCCAGCTTCTTTTTCCAGCCACTCTCCTTCGAGGCCGTCTTTTACCAGTTCTCTTTTTTCTCTTTCAGGTGCCTGGGGAGAATGAGAAACAGTGGAAGCCAGCCCTGGTTGTGCTGACTGACAAGGACCTTTTAATCTACGACAGCATGCCCCGGAGGAAGGAAGCCTGGTTGAGCCCGGTCCACATGCATCCTCTTCTTGCCACCAGGTAGCCATGGCTTTGTGGTGGGTGTGACTTGTCTGTGGTTTGAAACTGCTTTAATCAACTGAAATTATTTCAATATCCTACATTACTGCTTACTGTTGCCATGGGAGCTGAGAGCTCCTCCAGAATATAGCCACCTGTTTTTATCCAGATTATCAATAATGGCCAATCAGGGCCAACACAGAGACAAAGAACAAACTGCTCATCCATAGTGAAGGAGCAGTGATACCTATGAGATGGTCCCAGTCTAGTCACCTTCCTGGCCCTCCATCCCATCCCCTTTGAGATGAAATATGCACACTCTATATAATAAAAGGCTAATATGCAAATTGTCTCCTGGGGAGTTCTACCAACTGGCAGTTTGACCACTCACTATGACATGCGTTGATCACCAGACAAAATGCCCCGATTGGTCCTGATTGCTGGCCAGGTCTAGGGACCCTACCTGTGCACGAGTTTTGTGCACTGAGCTTCTAGTGTATTTATAATTTGAAGTTCATATAGTAAGAATTATCAAGCAAGTATCTTCCCTTGATAGCACAAAGAGTGGCACCACTGTGCTCTTTAAAGTTTGTTTAGCACAAGACAAACTCTTCCTCAGTTGTATGATGATTCCTGTGGAAGTGGGGCTGCCAGGGGCTGTCTGGTCCTTAGGAACTTCAGTGCACATTGATTGTTCATGTGACAGTATCCTAATGCATTGTATGCTCAACCCATCTCTGAAAGCTTATATCCTGAGCTCAAGAGCACATAAAACCTGAGTCTTGCCTTCGAGTAGCTGACAACTCCCAGACTTGGCTTCTATTGCCAGCACTTGCTGTATGTGCTTTATGACAATGGGCATGGTTTTCACTGCTTCTACACCCCTGTTTCTTTACCCAGAGGCTAGGAATGCTAGCATATTGTTTGTTTATGGCCTCCCCGGCATGGTACCTAGCAGTATTGGGCCCTTAAATGTCTGTTGAATGAATTAATGAACAATGTGGGACAAACCCTGCAAGGGAATTTTGCCCTACAGACAGAGCATAGTGGACTGAGGTGTTGGGGCATCTGTCCTGAGCAAAAATATAGAATGGGTTCTCCATTCTGGAAGGATTGAGGTGCCAAATAGTCAAGGCCCCCGTGTAAGGAAGAGAATTAGGCCCAGTGGCAGAGCCAGAAACTGACATGAAGTTGGAACAGTGGTAGTGAATACAGACGAAACTCCTTAAAATTCCACATCTGCTCATGGCTGATTGCAGAGACCAGCAACGGTGACCTGAGGATGGCAATTACTGGCCTCAGACGTAAATGGAGGAAGCCTTCAGGGTCTAGAAACCAGGCCTAGAGATTTCAGAAAATAATAAATAAAATAGTAATTACATTATTAAGTTTTCTAAGCTTCAGACTCTTTGGCAGGATACCTAATAAATGTTTACAACAAAACCTCAATAATCAGAATCCAAACATCCTTAAATGTCCATACAAGGATTCAGGCTCTGTCTTGGGGTCCATTTGAATTCCTCCCAGCCACCATTATTTTTGGTGGTTTGCACTCCAATTCCCATCCATGGGCCCCGGTATTCAGATTCTGAGACACTTACAACCAAAACCAAAGAAAGATCAGACCACAGTCAAGGTATTCCAGTTATTAAGGAGAGAAATTGGACTCCTGCCTCTTGGAATGATTTTTAGGAACTGAAGTTTAAAAAGCAGAGTTTCTGGGTAACTGTCAGGCAGCTTGAAAAGAAGATTTATCCCAGGACACTGCTTCCTCCTCCCAGTCTCTGAGCATTCTGACTAATGGAATTTTAAGGAGTTTCAGCTTTATTCACTCAGGATCCCAAAACTTCAATTCCTCCACTACAGTAGCCACATTTCAAGGACTCAGCAGTTTTGGCTAAAGGCTACCAGCCTAGACAGCACAGATCAGAACATTTCCATTATCACAGAAAGTTCTGTTGGACAGTGCTGCCCCAGAGTAGAATTGAGTACCTCCCAATTTGTTCTGATTATTGCAAGTGGCTGGCCTGGGCTTACATGCTCCCACAGCTGTCCATCAACCGCCCAGGATGTCATCTCAGAAGCTCATCAGTGGCCCGGAGCAGTCCTGAAGAAGGTCACGGATATGAACCCTTCAAAGCAGTTTCCAGAAAGAGGGATGGAAGCAGAGACACAGTAAATGACATCTGAGGAGGTATTGGGTGGGAGGCATCAAATGTACCTGCTCCAGGCTCCACACCATAGGGATGCCAGGTCTAGTCTGTGAACGAGGCACCTGAGTAGCCTAGAACCATAAACCTGCATCCAATATGGAACAGAGAATGGAACTCCTTCTGTGCAAATGATGCTCATTTAGAAAAATAGGTGCAAGCATAAGAAAAAAAAATCGGTGTCCACTGTCTAAACATAAAACAGATATGAAGGTAACACTTCACCTCCCAACTTACTGCCCTTTCCAAAATGACCCAGCCTGACCTCTGACCTACAAAAGAAAGATGTGTTATTAGATGAGTATAATAGCCTTATGAGAGGTGGTAAAATTAGGCCTATAACCATGACCCTGATCTCCAGTTATAGCCTGCGAGGCAGAGTCTGTCCAGATGTTAGGACGGAAGGCTAGTCTTACTTCATCCCCTCAAGCTAGTAGGTAATTTGCTGCCTGATCCCAAGCAGCAGCCTGGAAAAGAAAGAGCTGGAGTTTCCATCTGTTTTCCTCCCACCAGGAGGATGCTTAACCCCAGGCTGACCACTCCACCTCCATCTTTCAAAGAGCTCATCTGTCAAACGCGCTCTGTGAATGCCTTTGTCTCCCAAGCCCAGGGATGATACACTTTTGTGAAAATGGGTTGTTTAACCGATCTTTCGGCCTATGCATCAGCCACCCTGGTTTGCATATGCATTGGCCATGGTCCGTTTCTTTCCACATCTCTGGGGCTGTACCTAGGAAAAGACTTAGGAAATGCAAAGAAGCAACTAGGAAAAGGACCCCTCACTTCCCCGAGTAGTCATGCTAGGAAGATGTACCCAGCTACAAGATTAGCTTCGGGCTGGGCATGTGAATGAGATGCCATGGAGCAGGGATCACCCCAGCTGGAGATTGAAACTACTCTATCCTTGCAGATAAAGCCAGCTCTTTAAGGGAGAAGGCTGGGATGGAGCTGTTCATTTCTGCCAGAAGTGGTAGAAATCAAAGGAAAACTCTGGTGCCTTCCATTTCTGAGGTCACTCCAATCCTTCCATTGGCTGCTTCCCGAGCCATGTATTTAAGTTCATCAAGTGACTCCTTCCTTTACCTCCCATTGGTTCTGTACAGTCTCATGTGAAACTGTCCTTTATATTTGAGCTTTTGAGCACACAGCCTATCTAGTGGCATTACTTGTCTTTGAGTGCATTTTTCTAAAGAAGGGGAGTTCTGTCTTTAAAAAAAAAAAAAAGTCTTTCTAAAATCTTTCATTGAGGTATAATTTATAATAGTAATGTATACACATCTTAAATATATAGCTTAATTTTTACTAATAGTTATAAGACCTCTTCAAAAATTGTGTTAGAGGGTGTCTACTGATTTTTCATCCTGGGTGACATTATCCAGGCCATGGGAGTACCATTTGCAAATAAAATTCTCACTTAATGTAGTTAGTAGGTTATAAGAAACTGTGACTTAACTCAATTTTACCATAGGTTAATTGATTTAAACAAGAGTTAAGTTCCTACAGCATACTAGTATTTCTGTATTAGGCTATTGGAAAATTGCTACTCATTATTACATCATTTTATTTAAAGTTACAGTTTTCTAGAACTTATTGACAGTGTTAGTGAGTACTTATTATAGACCATGTGGTAAAGAACCAGTGGTTGACCTTTGTAAAGGGAGATTAGGTCAAGGCCAAGTGCTTTATGTTGATTCTATCTGAGTTTGCAAATTGTGTCCAGTTTAAAAATGTCCTGGCTGCTTATTAAAGATTCCTGTCCTGGGGACCCTATCCTGGAGATTCCAGCTCAGCAGGTCAGATTGGGGGTCAGGAATCTGTTTTCAACAAGCATTGGGCAAATGTCCTCAGGTTCCCCACATCTAACCATCACTAGCCTTTGAGGTTTAGGTTTTGTTCCTATTTCACAGATAAGCAAACCAAGGAACAAAGAGGGGATGTAACTTATGCATAGTCATACAGCCAGGAAGAGTCCACCTTCTTAACCACTGATCCGGGGCAGCTGCTTAACCACACGGAACCATGGGTTTCTTATTTGTAAAGTGGAGCTCATAATACCCCTTTCACAGAGTCATGCTCTTGTTCCCTGGAGTTTTGAATATCCTGAGTGTATCAAGTGAACATTGACTTAGCTCTCCTGACATCTTAATCATCACATCTACTGCAAAGTGATTATGAAATTAAAATATCGTGCATTAGCCAGCTCGGGCCGCCTCAACAAATACCATAGATTGGGTGGCTTAAGCAACAGATAATTATTTTCTCACAATTCTGGAAGCAGAAGGTTGAGGGCCAGGTGCTGGCATGGTTGGTTTCCAGCGAGACCTCTCGTCTTGGTTCCTAAAATGGTGGTCTTCTCCTTGAGTGTTCATATGGCCTCTTTGAGCACATTTGGGGAGAGATCTCTCTGGTATCTCTTTTTATAAGGATACTAATTTCACTGAGCAAGGCCCCTCCCTCATGACCTCATGATTGGCCCTATCTCTAAATATAGTTTCATTGAGGGTTAAGTCTCCAACATAGAATTGAAGGGAGGTGATGGGAAGAATTCAATCCATAGCAATGACGTAAGCACAGCCTTATTGAACATAATGCCTGGCACACAGCAGGTCTGAGCATCTGGTAAGTCGCTTGCCTTCTCTTCAGCCCTGCTGGGAAGCATCATTCCGAATGTTAGAGACAGTCTTTTCCCTTGCCCAAGAAGAACTGGCTGGGACTATGGCCAGTAAGAAACAGGTTGCTTCTAAAATTGAGTTACTCCCTCAGGCAGTTCAGAGTTGATTTGTATATTTGTTTAGTTTTTTGTTGTTGTTT